GTGTGAACTTCTGAAAGAAATTTGGACCTTTGCCCGACGTCCCCCCCCCCCCCCCTTCTCTGCCACTGCCACCCCACACGTCCTCCAGTACATTATTTGACATGACTTCCTGTGTCTGACTCATTTCTTGCTTAGCAACTATGACCAATAGGCTTGCTTGGTAACGCGTTTGCATTTATGTGATTGATATATACTGTACACGCACACACTCATATATGTGTATGTATGTGTGTTTGTGGTGTGCGCGCGCGTGTGTGTATAAATGTATGTATATATATCCATACATACACACGCGCGCGCGTTTATATATGTGTGTGTGTGTGTGTGTGTGTGCGTGTGCACGCGCGCGTGTGTGCACATAAATACACCAAAAGGCAGTGCCAATAGATAAACGAAAAGAAAATTTCTAGCCCAGAAACAAAAACAAAAAACAAAAATACCTGAGAAAACTTTTTTCTTCCCCTTTACCCTGGCAAAGGACTTGACACGAGGGTCATTAACATCTATTTCTTCCTCTCTTTCTCGCTTTCTTACAAGACGAATGAAATCTAAAATAAATCTAAATATAAAACTTCATTTACAGATCATCAAGGAATCTTCACCACTGGAATGAAGAACGAGGAGAACTTAAATATCGAAAATGATAAAAGGAACAACGAAAAACATGATGAAAAAGAACCCACGATAAAAGAAAGGAATGGAAGAGGCGAGAATCAAGAAGAGAAAGAATCCATAATAAAAGAAAGAAACGAAAGAGGCGAGGGAGAGAAAGAACCCACGATAAAGAAAGGGGATGAAAAAAACGAGAATCAGAACGAGAAAGAACACACAACAAATAACGGGAATGAAAGAGGCGAGAATCAGGAAGAGAAAGAACCCATGATAAAAGAAGGGAACGAAAAAGCCAAAGGAATGGAAGAAAGAAGAGACAATAATAAAACAGAAGACGAAGAAGAGAGACCGACTGACCACAGGAAAAGGGGTCTAGACCGTAAACGAAGATACAGGGACCTTCTAGCTTATTGGTGATTATACAAAGGATTTTCTGTTTTATTAACACGTATTTATGTTACGGAAGACGTGGTTATGATGAGTAATATTATCATTATTATTGTTTTATTTTCTTTATCATAATTATTGTTTTATTTTCATTATCATAATTATTGTTTTATTTTCATTATCATAATTATTGTTTTATTTTCATTATCATAATTATTGTTTTATTTTCATTATCATAATTATTGTTTTATTTTCATTATCATAATTATTGTTTTATTTTCATTATCATAATTATTGTTTTATTTTCATTATCATAATTATTGTTTTATTTTCATTATCATAATTATTGTTTTATTTTCATTATCATAATTATTGTTTTATTTTCATTATTATTGTTTTATTTTCATTATCATTATTATTGTCTTATTTTTATTATCATAATTATTGTTTTATTTTCATTATCATAATTATTGTTTTATTTTCATTATCATTATTATTGTTTTATTTTCATTATCATTATTATTGTTTTATTTTCATTATCATTATTATTGTTTTATTTTCATTATCATTGTTATTGTTGTTATTGTTAGCCTTAATTCTATTGTTATTATTATTATTATTATTATTACCATTATTATTATTATTATTATTATTATCATGATTATCATTATCACTGCTATTGTTCTCTCATATATTTCCTATATCTTAAAGCGTTGTATTTTTTCTAAGAATATTATATCAAAACACGTTCTATTTCATCTAAAACGTATTCTTTCTTATGTAAACCATTATCATTATTAACAGTAATTATTCATAAACAGTATTAACTAACGTTTAATTTCTTGTGCTATTATCAATATTTATACATGAATCACACATAACACTTTTTTTATAATTAGTAGCATTACCAACAATTATTAATAGATAGTATTAACTAGTTATTTTCTGATATTAAAATTCGGACCAAAGACCTAGCACTTTATTTATTTAATTTCTTTTATCATTACTTTTGTTGTTAAATGCCTAATGCTCATTGTCTATACATTCTAAAAAAAAATGTTTAGGCCTATCGTAAAAAAAAAAAGCAGTTGGTATATCAACGATGGGAAAAGTGGGTAAAATATTCACTATTTAAACGAGTAAACTTTGAACGCATTCCAGTAAATCTTTGAAGTTAACAGATGGTATACACTGATTTCTAAATAACCTTTGGTATTTAGGTCTATAGCAATAGATTGATGAGACGGTTACATTCTTTTCATAATGATGATGATGATGATAATGGTGATATTGATAAGGATAATGATAGTAACAGTGATAATGATAGTGATGATAAAAATGGCAATGGTAATGATGATGATGATGATGATAATGATAATAATGATAACAATAATAATAATTATTGTTATGATGATGATGATAATAATAATAATAATAGTAATAATATAATAATGATACTACTACTGCTACAACAATCACAATAACAACTAATAATAGCATC